TTCCCTTTTTTCTAAGTTATATTTTCACTAAGACATGTGCTCTTCTATCAAAGTATTAAAGTGAGTAGTTCTAATAGTTTTAATAGTAGTTCTAATAGTACAAAGTATTAAAGTGAGTAGTTCTAATAGTGAGTAGTTCTAATATCCACAGTAGTCACTTGCCACACAGGACGCATATGGCAAATGATTCTTGTGGGTATGTTAGAAAAGTAAATATAGGTGTGCGTATATGTGTATGTGTGTATATATATATCTATGTATATACATATATGAGTGTATGTATATTTGTGTGTGTGTGTATACACATATATCCTCCAGTGAAATTGATTCTAAGGTCAAAACGTCATTTTTGCTATACTTTTCCAACCTTAAGCCCCTGGAGGTAGCTCTCTCAAAAGGGAGGCCTGATACTACTGGAATGTGATGTCATTTTTACTATAATAATCTTCTTCCTTAAATCATTAAAGTACATTCTTTCTGGACTGAGGCATTGATAACAATTCCCCATCAGAGAAAAAGAAGCATGTTGAACATGATCTTCAGCAGTCTAGGAAAAGCTGCTCCTCATGTCCCTCCAGCATGCCCTTCCTACTTCTCAGGTTGAGAGTTATAGCTGCTAAAAGCCTGTCCCACTGAGACAGAATTGCATATCTTTTAATTTTCTAATATGCCGACCACACTATATGGCAGGTGCACTGCAGAATAAAAGCTGGCTTTTACTTTCATATATGTACATATATTAGAGGAATCTATCAACGAAGCATAAGTTTATTCAAAGTCATTGAGATTCTGGTGAACAGAGACTGAATTTAAATATTATAGCAGCTGTCAGGCCTTTGAGGCATTAAAGGACTGTACTTTTTGAGGCTCTGACCAAATTTCCCACTTTATTTCAGTTACAAAATTTCCTTATGACATAACTCTGCAAACTGACCTCCTAGTTGGAGGAGGAGCTCAATAACCTAAATGCCTAACAACAAGTTTTCTTAAGGTTTTCCTAAAGCACAGAACAATTAATTTGGGGATTCCTGTACCTACTGTCAAACCTAATGAAAAACGGACATCGGGTAAAAACGAAATTTGATGAACAAACCCCTCACAGAATATGGTAGGTTCCTTTGGGGTATCTATCCAATCCATGATCCTCCTCTTATATGACAACTGCATTCCTCTGTAGGGGCAGGCCCTGGACCCAAATCACTCCTGTGCAAATCAACCTTCCCTTCCCAGTCCATGTTGAGGATATTGGGGTAGAATATCACACAAATGGGATGACTAGAGCCTTTCTCTCTAGAACTTAGAGCTTAAAGCCAGTAGCCAGTGTCTCCTTGTCATGTGAATTGACAGGTGATGGACTCCTCATTGATCTTATGCAGTGAACACCCACTAGCTTTTCTCTGCTCAAACACCACTCCCTCCTTTTCTGTTACCAGTATAACCATCCTCAATTAGTAGGTACATGCATGTGTATATGTATGAGTGCTGGGGGGAGGCTGATCATAAGTGATATTTGACACAGTTAGCCATTGTTATGACAAAGGCACTGATGAATCAGAACAGACACTGGGCTTAACATCAAGCCACTGATCATTGACTATTATCTCTGGGGTTAACAGCATCTTCTCCCAGACTCAGGGATTATCATATGATCCAGGCCTGCCTAATAGGGGCAGTGCTCTCCTGGGCTTCAGAGATTGGCTCAGGTATGGGGACATGACACAGGCTGGTGGAGAAGAGCCAATCAAGAATGAGAGAAATAAAACAGATTTTTAAAAATGAAAAAAAAAAAAAAAAAGGGTTATAAGGTCTCCAAGAAAAAAGGAGATAAGAGCTGCTGGGTTTCTAAGGACTTTCTTTTGTGCTGGTATCCGAAGAGTCTGCCCCTGAAGGATTTGTATCACTCATCTGAAAAAGTATTAATTAGACTCTATATATGCGAGTCAATATAGAGTGAATCCCAGAGCAAAAGGCACGCATATAAGTGTGTGAGCACACTGGTGTGCTGCTAGTGAGCTGCAGGACCGCGCAAGAGAAGCTGAGAGAGTGTTGCACGGGAGCATGCCTGGGTTCTGCAGACCTAGAGGTTGTATTGATCCCCTCTACAAAGCCACCCCCATTCCCTTTTGTTCCAATAAGCTCACAGATCAGTGAGAACTGCAGGAACCAAAACATATATGGACAACCTAATGAACAGTTGAGCAAAAAGATCTGTGGCCAAAAGAAGGAGTCTATAAAGAAATAAAGATCAGTTCTGCCTGGAGATAAACCCCAACCGTGTAAGGGAAACAGAGAGCAAACAGGAAAGAAGGGCACAGAGAGCCAGGAACTTTCTCACCAGGAGAAAAGCGGGTGAAGGAGAGCAGTTGAGGGAATCACGTTTAAATAACATGGTAATAATTAGCTCAATTTATCTCCGTACCTCCAAAGCGAGCTCTCGGTGATGCTCCCCAGGTTATAGTCATAGAGCTTTGTCAAAATGAGAATCACCTGAAAGCAAAAGAAGACATCATGGTTAGTCTCAAACAATTACAATCTCATAGAGCTGAAATGGCCCAAGGGAGGGCTTAGGATTCCTTTAATGGGCGCTTAACATAATTGAATGAATTGTTACAGCTTTCGCTTACTCTGACTGAGGCAGGGTTTGCCAGTGCCTTCCATGAAACCTCTCAAGCCTGATCCCCTCCCCAAAGTTCTCCCTTTCACCCCCACAGCAAGTGTCACCTGCCATCCCAGGCATTGCTTACCCTGTGGGCTTAACACCTTCAGGGAAAACTCATGGAGCTGTCAAACACGCACCCTGCAAGGTAACCACTGAGCAGATGGCTGGGAGGGAGGAAGGGCAGTGATGTATAGCCAGCCCTCGAAGCTGTGCCATGCCAGGCAAGTTACTTAGCTTCTCTGAACCTCAATATGCTGTCTCCAAGAAAGAGTTGCTGTGAGAAGTTAAATTAGGTAATAAATGCAAATTATCCTAATTTAGCATGGAAGTTCTTAATGGTTAGTCCTTCCCTTTTTCTTTCCTCTGCAACTCCTCCTTTGATTTTAACCTATTACTATTGTCTGCTTCACTCAGAGGAACCCCAACTATTCAGTTCATTCTTCTAGAACTCAAAAACACTTATTAAGCATTTATTAAGAACCCAGGATTTCGCCTGAGGCCAGAAGAGAACATAACTACAGATGAGGCCTGGGAGTCTGTGATCCAGGTAGGACAGGTGGCACTCGCTGAAAAAAGCTAAGGCGATAGAGAGCTCTCTACCCCTTACCACTGAAACTCATGCCCATCATGGCAACTTAAAAGGCCGCTTCTTTCGCAGTGATGAACAGGGCCCACCTGGTTACACACAGTACATGAGCACCAGGACATGGGAAGGTTTGACAGAGCAGCATGTCCCTGAGCACTGATGTCCTTCCTCACCCTTACTTGTCGTTCTTCCATGAGGAAAGGAACCTAAGAGGTCTGCTCCGTTTCTGTTGAGGTTCATATTTCTCTCCTGATACTCGCAGCCTAGAATATTTGTCCCAGTCCTGCTGTTTTGGACTCAGCAGAAAAATGTAGACATCGATTTCCAGGATTTTGTCTGAAGGCCAAGTGGATAAGTTCTAGCCCCAGTGAGCACAGAACATCCTAACCTTGAATTCCAAGACAGCAAGCTGCCAAGAGTGCCAAATCCTTCTGAGTTCCACTCTGCTAGCACGGGGCTGGATTTACTGAAGGCACAGGCATCAGTGAGCAGATCTCAAACACTTCTTTCACAGCCAATGAACCAGAACTCCATGCACAACCACAACCTTAGGTTTGTTCCAAGTTCAAGGGAATGTAGAACCATAGTAACACAAAGACAGGCAGAGATCTGGGACCTGTGCTCTAAGGCCACCACTCTCCTAAACCACTGCCCAGGCTTCCTTCAAGGATGTGTTCAAAACTTGCTTCTTTAGCAAAATGAGAGCGTGTGTGAGGTGCTGGGCACCCCATGGGCACATCAGATGGCATGCCTATGGTGGGGGCATATGCTTAACAGGTCTGTGTGCCAATTAAGTCTCTCTAAGTGCTAAATTTCAATCACCACCATCCCAGGAATGCTGATCGGCAGCAGCAGGGTGGCTGTTTGTTTGAAGACACAGAGTGATGTTGCTGCTTCACCTCGGTACAATTTTTCCGAACAGGCCTATAAATCCCCCATGGAGAAAATGTGAGTAGTGCGGGTGTAAAGCATTTCTAGGTAGTTTCTCTCTTGATACAATACGGCAGCAAACTAAACAATGAAGTTCAGCTGACCACAGGCTGGGTCTCCCAGCCATCTGATGAGGAAATTCAGAGGAACCTCAGAGAAGGAACCCTTTAACCCAGCGTGTAATGGTGTGGAGCCCCTCATGCAGTGCTCGGCAATTGTTTAAGCAAGTCACAGGCAGTTGGACAGCGAGGTACAAATCCACTCTCTGACTCTTCTTGCTGGGCCAGTAAAACGAAAATGCCGGTGATACACTCAGGCAGTTTATCAATACACCACCAGAAGAAGTGTCCTTTATGGCATTTGAAAGCATATCTGCTTGAATCAATCTAATCTTTCTGTTTTTGCAACCATCACAGTAAGAAAGGAGGGAAAACTGCTAACTTTTAGTTATGATTTCAACTGATTATTTGAAATCTCTCTTCCACTTTACTTCCCCTTTACTGTCCATGTGTCATTATATTATATCTGTTTTGCTGTTGTTTGTTTTTCTGTTCTGGTTAATTAACAGAATTAGCACCTGTTAAAGTGGCCATGGCCAAAACCACCACCATTAGAAAAAAGGAAAATGTAATTGCCTGCCTATGCTGGTCCTTTTGTATACAATCTTTTGTGTATTTTTCAAGCTTAAAAAAAATGAATGGAATTCCTTAATCAAATGAAATGCGTACTTAAATATATATAAATGATAATTTATTTTTATTCATTCAGTAAACCATTTTCATGTATAGAGTTAATTCTCTAAGTACAAGTACATAGCATTGTCCAAGTATATAGTGTTTAATTATAAATCCAATCAATGAGAGCAAGGCTATTTAGATGAATACACACTCACACAAAATGGAATATCCATCAGCATACCACTACATGGTACCAAAATATCCCGTATTCAAAACATTAAGTGGAACATATGGTAATAATATTTGGGGATTCTTCTAATATTTGGGGATTCGTCTATAAATTTTAGGATACCTTCTTTGACTAACGACAGTCCAAATATCTATTACTTGAAAATTTCTACCGACTTCGTGCCTCATCTCTCTCACTGCCCAGTTATTTCTGGGATTTTCCACAGCGACATGTCTAAGTACCCCCAACCAGCCTAGGAGCCAATGCCCCCATATGCCACCTGTCCTGTATTTTTGCTGTGGCTCCCTCCTGCCATTTCCATTGCTTACAAAGCTTCTGGGGAGAACGACGCTTTGTCCATACTTATAAGAAACATGCTCACTCACCAAGCTGCTATTCTCAAATCATCCATTCATTAAAAAGTGCGAGGGCACCAGAAACAGTGTTCTGTGTAGGGATAAGTGAGGGTCTTCAAGGGAGTGACCACAGGTGCCCTTCCCAGAGTTGTGTCCAGTTTTTTCCACCTGAGCTCACCAAACTACTATTCCTTTTCCAAGGTCTATCTTCCAAAACTCCTACTGAATAATTCCACCAACTCCATCCTCTTCCCCGTCACCTCTGTACAAAGCTATTAAGAAACCACTACATAAAGAAAGTGTGGTATTACATTTAATATACAGTGAAATATTATTCAGCTATAAAAAAAAAGGAAATCCTGCCATTTGCAACAAGATGGGTGACACTGGAGGGCGTTTTGCTAAGTGAAATAAGCCAGATAAAGATAAATACTATGTAGTATTACTTATATATGGAATCTTAAAACAATAACAACAAAAAATTTCATAGAAACGGAGTAGAATGGTGGTTGACAGGGGATGGAGGAAGGGTAAATGGGGAGATATAGGTCAAAGGGTATAAACCTTCAGTTATAAAAAGAGTAAGTTCTGAAAATCTAATGTATATCATGGTGATATAGTTAACAATATGATACTGTATACTTGAAAAGTACTGAGAGTAGATCTTAAGCATTTCAACCAAAAACAAAACAAAACAAAAATGCAATAACAAAACAATAAACAGAGATGATGAATGTGTTAGTTATCTTGATCATGACAATTATTCCACAATGTATATGTGTATCAAATCATCACATTGTACAGTTTAAGTATATACAATTATCTTTATCAATTATTCCTTAATAAAGTTGAAAAAAAGAAAAGAAACCATCACAGAGAACCCTGATGGGGTAGAAAATGCCAATCTACTCCTCCCGTCTTTTATCCTCATCTTCTTTTGTACTTGGTTAGGAATCAGAAGCATTCGTAGAGATAAATGGAGACTCTAGTAGACACTAGTATGTAGATGACTAAGAAGAGTATTCTACTGTAAAATAACAAAATCCAGTCACAAATGTTCTGTTTCAAACAGCAGGGCAAGCCTTATTTCCAGGAATTCATTAGAATAAATTAGCATGGCAGCAGGCTAAGTTAATACCTCCGCAGTCTCCATTATGCCAAGTCTTTAGATAAGTGACACCTTTGAATGTGACAGCATGCTTTTTTAATTAATATAAAAATATAGTTTAAAAACAACACTGCAAACATTTAAGAAACCCCCAAAACACCTCCTGGTAACCTGATTCTACAAAGCATACTTTTGAAAACATCTGTATTAATTGCTAGACTGTAAGAACCAAAATTCTAGAATCTCCAAGTAATAGTGGAGCCATTCTCCATTTATTTTAAAACAAACAAACAAACAAACAAAACATAATGTTTGACCCTTTCTGTGATAACTTAAAAAATGCACCCCAGAAGAATGGGTGCTGGATGTTGGGGGAGTCAACCCTTACCCCTTAAGAAGGAAAGAACATGCATATTTCGCCTATGAAGGTCTCCTATGTCATTTGCTTAGCAGTAGCAATCTGGTTGGAAGCAAAGAATTAAGGAGAATCTTTCTTGAAGAAGTTATCCTAGAAAGCTGACTATTCTTCTTAAACTATGAATTTAGGATAGCTCTTGGTAAACTAATGGACATTTAGACTAGGACACCTGGCCTGGCCACGGCCCTTCATCTTATATCACCTTCATTTAAGGAAAATCTTAGAAAAGTAGGGCATGCTTTCTCATTTTCAATTGTTAATGATTTGCCCCTGAGAACACTGCCAGGAAGAGAGAGCGAACAACGAGTGACCCACGGACCACAGAACAGAAACAAGAGAAGAAACGACTCGAAAACTCCAAGAAGCCAAAAGATCCAGATCCACCAGAAAAGGATTTTACCCCTTATGACCATAGCAAGTCGGATTTCAAGGCTTTTGCTGGAAACAGCAAGTCCAAATCCTCCCAGTTTGATCCGAATAAGCAGACCCCGTCTGGCAAGAAATGCTTTGCTGCCAAAAAACTT